GAGCGCGATTGCCGGTATGTGCGCCACAGTGGCCCTCGTGTACCTCTTCGAGTACTTGCCTTGTTTGGTGTGGCCCCAAGCACTTAGCGAGGGGTCCGCCAAACGTTCTTTTGTACAGATCGTGACTTATTAAGCAGTATCGGGCGGCTTGTAGGCGGAGCTTTTTGGCTGCTTTTTTGTCGAGCGGGAGTGTCCCGTCCTGCAGATAGGAGATGAACTGGTTGCGCCAGTCCCAAGTTAGATTTAAAGAGAGTACCTCAGTGTGATCTATGCCTGAATGGAGGAGGGTGACTATGTTTCCCTTGTTGATGTTTTTGGTGGCTACAGCCAATTTGGCTAGGCCGTCTGCTTCGACGTTCTGCGCTCTCGGGATTTGTTCCAGGCGGCATTCGTCGAACTCGGGCATCAACTTGTGAATTTTTGATTGATATTTCTGCAGTCTCTGTTCCTTGATCTGGTAAGTCCCGGTGACCTGGTTTACCACGAGTTGAGAATCGCAATGGAGGATGAGTCGTCGAGCTCCGTACTTGATGGCCAACTTCATACCTGCAATCACAGCCTCATACTCGGCCTCGTTGTTAGTCATCTCGGGGCATCGTATGGACTGACGAATTATTTTGCCCGTGGGGGACCTCGAGTACGAGTCCCAGTCCCGATCCCGAGGCGTTGGAAGCGCCGTCAGTGTAGAGGGTCCAGAGTTCGGTACTAGGAGTGGCACGAATGGCATCTAGTTCCGCTTCCGGCAGAATCTCTGTACTGAAATCGGCGACAAAATCTGCAAGTACCTGCGACTTGATGGCATTTCTCGGGTGATAGGATATGTCGTGCTCGCTGAGCTCTATGGCCCATCTGGCGAGCCTGCCCGATAGCTCGGGCTTGTGTAGGATGCTTCTCGGGGGGAAGGTCGTTATAACTTTTATAGGATGACACTGAAAGTAGGGTCTAAGCTTTCGTGAAGCTATAACCAGTTCCAGAGCCAGCTTCTCGAGGTGTGGATACCGTATTTCGGCGCCCACTAGGGTTTTGCTGAGTAAATAGGAGACTGCGTACCTTTGTTTTCACGGGCCAGGACTGCGCTGACGGCGACTTCGGACACTGCCACGTATACTAGCAAGGGTTCGCCGGGGTTTGCTTTAACTAGCAATGGTGGCGAAGACAGGTATTCTTTCAATTTTTTTAAAGCCTCGGCACATTCCTCGTTCCATTGTAGTCCGTGATCTTTTCTCAATACGTTAAAAAATTTATGGCACCTGTCGGAGGATCGCGAGATGAACCTGGATAGGGCGGCTATTCGCCCTGTCAGCTTTTGTACCTGTTTTTTGTTGTGCAAGGTCTCAGGTATTGCGTCTATCGCCTTGATCTGGTCAAGATTGACTTCGATACCTCGTTGTGATACGAGGAAACCCAAGAACTTCCCTGACGCTACGCCGAAGGCGTATTTTTCTGGGTTTAATTTCATCCCGTACTGTCGTAGTATCTCAAAGGCTTCTTTCAGATGGTCGAGGTGGTCTTCTTTGTTTGCCGACTTTACCAGCATATCGTCGATGTAGACCTCCATGGTCTTGCTAAGCTGTTCCTTGAACATTCTGGTAACTAGCCTCTGATACGTCGCCACTGCGTTTTTGAGTCCGAAGGGCATCACCTTGTAGCAATACGTTCCCTGGTGGGTGATGAAAGTTGTCTTTTCTTGGTCCTCCTCGGCCATCATGATCTGGTTGTAGCCGGAGTAGGCATCTAGGAAGCTTAGCAGCTCATGTCCTGCTGTGGCGTCGATCAACTGGTCGATGTGAGGTAACGGGAATGAGTCCTTCGGGCATGCCTTGTTAAGGTCTGTGAAATCCACGCACATCCTCCACTTCCCGTTTTTCTTTTTGACCATGACGATATTGGCGACCCATTGGGGATATTTTGATTCCCTTATGGACCCGTTGGCCAGTAGTTTATCTACCTCTTCGCTAACGGCCTCATTGATTGCGGCATTGAACTTTCTTCTAACTTGCCGCACGGGTGGATATAGTGGGTCGATGTTCAATTTGTGGGTGGCAATGTCTCTTGGTATCCCCGGCATATCTAGATGAGAAAAAGCAAATAGATCTGCGTGGTTAGTTAAAAATTCATGGTACTTACTTGGGTCGCAGAGGCTGTGTCCGATGTAGGCTTTTTTTGAGTGGTCGGTGTTGTCCAGTTGTACTGGGTTGAGATCCTCGACCGTTGCTTTGTAGGCTTCTACGACGTCCGGATCTTTGATGGCTTCCCTTGTCGGGTCGACCTTAGTCCCCGACATGGCTGATTGCTATGCTTCCGCACTTGCTCCTTTCAACTGCTTGGTGTGTGAGTAGTCTTGAGCGATTCGGTAGCACTCTTGCGCGGCTCGCCCCAAATGCTAAATATTCCCCAAGGGGTGGGGAACTTGATCACTTGGTAGAAGCTTGAGGGGACTGCTCGCATGGCGTGTATCCACGGGCGTCCTATGATGGCGTTGTAGGCTGTTTCTTGGTTAATGACGTGGAAAGTGGTTTCCAGCGTAACTCCTCCTGCTAAAATCGGCAATGATACCTCCCCGGAGGTCCGTTCCACTGCATTGTTAAAACTTGTCAGTGTTATGCAACGCGGTATTATCCTATCTTCGAGCCTCATTTGCGCGAGGACCCTTGGATGGATAATACAGGCGCCACTTCCGTCATCAACCATGATTCTCTTAACATCAGTGTCAGCAATACGTAAAGTTATGACCAAAGCATCATAATGAGGAAAAGACAAACCGTCGGCATCTGACTTATCGAAGGTGATACTCTCTTCGAAGTCATCATACCGTTCGTGGGCGATTGTTCGCTTCAGTTTGTGCGAAGTGGTGAACTTTACATGGTTGATTGCTGAATCGTCGCCTCCTCTGACGATCATGTTGATGGTGTGTGCTGGCGAAGGCGGCTTTGGCGGCCCTTGAGGTTGATCCCGCCCTCGTGCGAAGTTGATCTTTCCCTTATCGCTGAGCAGCTCATTCAAGTATCCTTGGTTCAGTATTGTGACCACCTCCTGCCGTAGCCCTATGCAATCTTCGGTTTTGTGCCCTCGTTCTTGGTGGAACTCGCACAGGACATTTGACTTCCTCATGGCGGGGTCTGATTTCATCTTTTGCGGCCATTGTACCTTGGTGCCCAGCTTCTCCAGTGGGTACACTATTTCTGAGGGAGACACGCAAAAGTTATGGGCGGATAATAAAGGGGGCATACCTCTTTTATTACGGAGTGGGGCGACATGTCGCTGTAGTGCTTCTGTGTGTCTAAGCGGTGGTGGATGCGAGGATCTGACGTAAGGTTGTTGCCTTTCTTTGTTGAAGCGTGAGGATTGTTCCCGCCGGCCCTCGCTGCGTCGATCCCTCCTTGCTTCTAACTGTATTGCCGTGAGCCGCTGGGTTGGTCCGTTGAGGTCATCCTCGTCTGCTCGTACCTCGGCACAGTAGGCGTTGTGGATCTCCTCCCATGTGGTAGGAGGATACTTCATGAGTCGGCTTAGTAGCTTTTTGGTTGCTCTCGAACCATCTCTGCTCAGCCCGTTTTGGAAAGCTGCGACCGCCATGCCTTCCGATACGTTTGGTAGGCTCATACTTACTCTGTTGAATCTGGCCAGGAAGTCCCTGAGTCCCTCACCTGCGGTTTGTCGGACGGCGAAGATATCGTTGACCCTGGCCTCTGCTTTCTTAGCTCCCACATGGGCGGTGGCGAACTTATCCGCCATTTCTTCGAATGTTGATATCGTTCTGGCTGGCAGCTGTGAGTACCATGTTAGCCCCCCCCCCGTCAACTTTTCTCCAAACTTTTTCAGCAGTACAGATGGGTACTTGTTCCTTTGACAGATCGTTACCCTTCACAGCGGTCACATAGTGGATCAGGTGGTCTTCGGGGTCCGTCGTCCCGTCATATATCCTTAAGTAGGGTGGCATCTTGAAGGTTTTTGGGATCGGGTGAGGTGCAGCTTCTTCGCTGTATGGCTGTTCGACGAATCATCCCACGTCGCGCTTTAGTAGTAACTTAGGAGCGCCGGGAATTTTGTCAACTCTTTCCTGATGCTCTTTCATCTGATCCCGAAGTGCCTTGTTTTCATTCTCCATTTCCTCCATTTTTTTAAGGATGGCTGCAAGTATGCCATCGCTGGTCTGGCCATTGGTGTGGTTGTTGTTTGTACGTACAGTATCGTGTTCACTGGTGGTAGCGATGTCTGTCGTCAACGGGTTCTTAATGTTGCTTCGGGGTGATTTTTCGAGCAAGCTGCCTAGGGTGTTCGTCAGCCATTCTTCCAGTAGCTTCTTGACCACCGGGGGTGGTGTTTCTTTGACCGCAGACGTGGAAGCCCCCTTTTCTTGCATGATTGTCAGATCTTCAGATGGGGAGGGTGAGATTTCTCCCTCTTGAGTGCTGCCAGGTGTTGTGCTCAAGATGTTTTCTCTACCGGCCTCGTTGAGGGGGCCTATGAGGTTGGTTGTGACGCCTGCTATTGCTTTCAATCTTGCGTCATTTTCCGCCATTTTTCTATTTCAGTAGGGTGTGAAGGAAGGTGGTTTATTTTTGATGTTCTAGGTGCAAACTATGATTTCGATTGCCGAATTCCCCACAGACGGCGCCAAATTATTTTGCTCAAAAGATACTAATTACTTTGTAAGCGAAAAACAATCAAATTGAATCAAAGGTAAATCGTAATCAAATATAACTAGACCTAGAAATATGTATTATGCTTTGTGATTGTTTCAACAACTTGGATATTCGAGAGAGTAAGAGAAAGCTCGTTTAGAGAGAGAGAGAGAAATAGGAAGAAAAATAGCTTATTATTGAAAGATTTCATGCCCTTTACAACATTGGGATTCTCCTTTATATAACAAGAGAACCCCCTCAAAAAATAATAAAATAATACAGGGATAGGTCACGTGCTTTCGAGGAGACGACGAGACTTAAGGGCACGCTTTCGCTCTGACATTCTTAGGTCGTCCCCTCTACTTCGGCTACTGCTTAGTCGGGGGTCGTTGCTACCATAGTGGGCAGAATTTGACCCCATACAACACCGGCATGGCTTGATAATGGAAAAGGCAAGATATCAGCAATTGATCGAGAATCGTGGCGTGCATTTTGGAATAGATTGATCTTCGGCGGTAAATCAGTTGTCAAATCAAGATATTTTTTACAGCTAAACGTGAACAAAGCACCAAGCCAATATGAAGGACCAGAAAATTGAGTTGCAAGATTGTAAACTCAGAAATGAAGCCTGGATTAGGTTTTGCTAGTTTAGCAAATCACACAAGAAAGAAGACAATTCATAAAATTGTAGTCAGAATCAATCACTGAATTAGAATATATTTACCCCTAAATTTGAGAAAAATGAAAGAAACTCTATCAAGGTTTTAACTTGCAGGTTATGTGAAAGTGGCAAATTAAACTAGCAGTAGAACTTGGAAGAGCATTGTCAAATGTATTTCTCTGCAAAGTTAAGAAAGAAGAAAATCAAATGCAACAGCTTCATTGTAACTAATTACTTTCAAAATTTATACGAGAGAAAAACTAAAAAACCATAAGTTGCAACACATTATTAGGCCCAGTAGCAAAGAGTTCTATTTAATAATGCTCAGTTATAATAGTCACCAAAACATAAACCATCCACTAGTAAACAAAGCTGACACATCCTCTGAAATCCACAGAGGCAATTCCAAAAGATTTTAAAGAGATTGTAGCTACAAGGTTTCTGGACTCTCTATTCTTTGCAGTTCTTACTAAATTATGTCCCCTAATAAATTTTTCTCATCAGGTTCTGAAAAATTATAAGAAAGCTTAATAAAACCAAGGCCTTGTTAAATTCGAAGCTCGATGGCTATGGCGGAAAGTAACAGAAGAAAAATCCTAGAAGGGTTGAGAGAAGAAGATGAACGAAATGAGTCGGTCAAAACTTAATTGACCAAAAACCATATTATTATTGAGGAGTCTCTATTTATATTTACAAGTGTAAGAGACAAAAATAAAATGTAAAATCTGAGAATGAAAATATAAGGAAATGTAAACTATAAAAGGGCCTTCTGCTTTCCCTTAGCTAATTGGGCCTGTGACAATTGGGCCTGAGCTGTATTTGGGCTAACACCCCCCCTCAAGCTTGAGGGTGAGAACACACCAAGCTTTGGTCATGATGTCTGCTAACTGATTGGAGCTGGAGATAAAATGCAAGGAAATCAGACCAGCCTGCAAGCAAGTGCGCACATAATGACAGTCAATCTCAATATGTTTTGTGCGCTCGTGAAAAACTGGGTTTTTGGCAATATGAAGAGCTGCTTGGTTGTCACAATGAATAGGAACTGGGCTAGAAATGGACAAACCAAGATCACGCAGAAGTCTGAGCAACCAAGAAATTTCAGCTGAAACCTTGCGAAGTGCTCTGTATTCAGCTTCAGCTGTGGACAAGGAGATAGTGGGCTGCTTCTTGCTTTTTCAAGAAATTGGGCTACCACCAAGAGTAATATAATAACCAGTGACAGATTTGCGAGATATGGCACACGCAGCCCAATCAGAATCAGAATATGCAGTGAGAGACAAATCAGATGAGCTGGAGAGGAGCACCCTTTGAGCTGGATCATTTAGTAAATATCTGAGAACATGCAAGGCTACCAACATGTGGGGAACTTGAGGTTTCTGAAGAAATTGGCTCAAATGTTGAACTGAGAAAGAAATATCAGGCCTAGTATGTTGCAAGAAATTGAGCTTCCCAATCAATCTCCTATATAAGCTAGGATCAGAAATAGGCTCCCCCATGTCTAACACCAGCTTCACAGAAGGATCTAAAAGGGTCATAACAGGAGAGAAATGTTGACAGTTAAACTCAGCTATGAGGTCAGAAGTGTACTTGTGTTGGCTCATCACATAACCTTGAGGAATAAGAGAGATTTCCAATCCCAGAAAATAGTGAACTGACCCCAGGTCTTTAATTTTGAATTGATCATCCAAGAAAGACTTCAAAGAGTTCATCTCAATAACATCATTACCAGCTAGCAAGATGTCATCAACATAGACAGCCAAGACAATTAGAGAATCAGAGGAGACCTTAGTGAATAAGGAATAATCATTCATGCCGGAAATGTAGCCTCTGGAGTGCAAGGCTTCAGACAGTTTTGAAAACCACTGTCTAGAAGCTTGCTAAGGCCATAGAGGGACTTTTTGAGTTTGCAAAGCAGGGGAGGACAGGAAGAAGAAGCAGATACATCAAGACCAGGTGGAACCTTCATATAAACTTCCTCATGGAGATCCCCATGAAGGAAAGCATTGTTCACATCAAGTTGGAACACATTCCAGCCCCACTTAGCAGCCAAAGTGAGTAAGCATTTGATGGTGGTTAACTTGACAACAGGAGAAAAGGTTTCAGTAAAGTCAATGCCCTCGTTTTGGGTGTCACCCCTAATGACTAACCTGGCTTTATATCTCTCAATAGAACCATCAGCCCTTTGTTTGATTTTGTAAACCCACTTGCAAGGAATAGCTTTCTTGTGAGAAGGTATAGGGACAATATCCCAAGTCTGGTTTGCCTCAAGGGCTTGGAATTCCTTTAGCATAGCCTCTTGCCAAGCAGGATATGAGGCAGCCTGCTGGTAGAACTGGGGCTCATGCATGTGTATGTCAACAAAAGAGACCTTGGAAGAGGTAAGAAAAGGATGAGAGGAAGAGACAGAGGAACATACATAATCTTTGAGATAGGAAGGTTGTTGGACTGTTCTGGTTGATTTTCTCAAAAGTGGAGGAGAAGGGATAATAGAAGAAGAATCAGATATAGGAGGAGGAGAAGGAGGTGAGGGAACAGGAGAAGCTGGAGATTTGGAAACATCAGGAGTAGGAGAAGGTGAAGAGGAGGAGGATGTAGAATCTACAATGTCTGAAATAAAGGAAGAGGGAAAGACAGAAGGATGATCAGACTTGTAGGGAAATATATTTTCATGAAAAACCACATCCCTAGAAAAGACAATGGAATGAGTAGTGAGATTAAGAATTTTGTAACCCTTTTTACCAAAGGGGTACCCCAAAAATATAGAAGGAATAGCTCTAGCCTGGAATTTATCTCTGCCAAACTTAAGTGAAGTAGCAAAGCATAAACATCCAAAGGACTTTAAGTGATCATAAAGGGGAGGGAGACAATGGAGTTTTTCATAAGGAGAGACACCCTTCAAAACAATAGAAGGAAGTTTATTGATGAGGTAAGTGACAGTCAGAACACAGTCACCCTAATATTTGAGGGGAAGGTTAGACTGAAAAAGAAGAGCCCTGGAGATTTCCAATAAGTGTTTGTGTTTCCTTTCAACCACCCCATTTTGTTGAGGGGTGTGAGGAATAGTGGTATAATGGAGAATGCCTTGGCTTGAGAAGAACTTGGTGGCTTCAGAACTTCCACCAAGTTCAAAAGCATTGTCAGACCTAAAGGTTTGGACAGATGAAATAAAATGAACCTTAACCATGATAGTAAAAGCTTTAAGAACAGAAAGAGCATTGTTCTTGCAAGAGAGGAGGTGTGTCCATGTGGCTCTAGTATAATCATCAACCAAAGTTAGAAAGTATCTGAAACCACTATAAGTTCTAGTGTTATATGGACCCCAAATGTCAATGTGTACTAGTTGAAAAGGAGCAGAAGAGTGTATAACACTTTCAGGAAAAGGTAATCTCTGTTGTCTTGCTAGAGGACAAACATGACACATGAAACTTTGTTTGGAAGACACTTTATCAGATAAGAAAGGAATAGTTTTCATTCTATGATAAGGCATGTGCTCTAATCTTTGATGCCAAAACAAGTCCAATTTATTAAGGCAATGTAATTGGTTACAATCAGGAGTACCATTAACATGTGTAACAACATGACTGGACTTATCAGATACAATTGAACAGAAGAAGGTAAATCAGTAGAAGTAGAAACAGAATTAGGTAAACTACTAGAAGACACATTCAGAGAATCAGATGGAACAGGAAAGAGATCACCATCTGGATAGAGGTAGTACAGCCTGCCTGCAGCTTTACCAATTTCCAGTGGCCTCTTCAGAGAAGGGCCCTGTAAAGAACAAATTGTTTTGGTAAAGAGTGCTGAACAATCTAGCTGACATATGAGCTGATGAACTGATATCAAATTGAAGTGAAAAGATGGCACCGGAAGAGCATGAAGTAAAATTATATCATGTCTAAGATACAGAGATCCAGTTGATACAACTTTAGCTTTATATCCATTAGGTAGGGTGACAAGAAAAGGCTTGATTAATGGTTGAACATTAAAAAGAAGATGTTTATGTGGAGTCATGTGATTTGTAGCCCCTATATCTAAGATCCAAGGATTGACACCTAATTGGGAGGATGCACACACATGAGAAACCTCAGAATCTACAGCATACTTGCTAAACAAACCTGCAAAAGTGTGCAAAAGCAGATTGATCCACATTGGAGGCATCAGGGGTGGAAGTGTTTGACATCTGAACTTGTTTGAACAAGGTCAACAGGTGTTGATACTGCTCCTTGGTAAACCCATGGGCTGAAGAATCAGCATGCTGAGAGGTGGTAGTGACAGCAGTGGTGGATGGACTTTCAGTCTGGACACAAGAAGCATATTTCTTACTCTTGGTGAACTTGAAATCAGTAGGGAACCCATGAAGTCTGTAGCACTTGTCTACAGTGTGGCCGGGCTTCTTGCAGTACTTGCAAGAGACATTTGGAGCAGCTTTCCTGGCCTCAAAATTCACCTTTTGACTGAAAGTCCTATTTGTGGTAGAAGCAGTAGGAGACACCAAGAAAGAGGTGGCATCACCAGAGAAGTTAGGAGCAGCAGAGTGAGCTTCTCTTTGACTCTCATCTTGTTGTAGAAGACTATAGGCTTTGCTGATTGGTGGAAGAGGATTCATTAACATGATGGCACTTTTAACAGTTGTGTAGGACTCATTTAGACCATTGAGAAACCGAAACAACTGTTGGTCCTCTATGAATTTAGGCAATGCACCATATGAACAGGTATGACCTACATATGAAAAGTTCAGCCCATCCCACAAACTCCTCATTTTGGTGAAATAAGAAGCTATATCAGAGGAGCCTTGAGTAGTAGAGCTGATTTCCCTTTGTATTTGAATGTATTTGGACCCGTTTGACTGACCAAACCTTTCATTTATATCCTTCCAGACTTCCTTAGCAGTTTTAAAACACATTACACTAACATCTATTTCTCTAGATACTGAGTTAGTTATCCAGGCTTTGACCATATCATTGCACCTTTCCCAATATGGGTAATAAGGGGATTCAGGAGTGGGTTGATTAACTCTGCGATCTAATAGGCTGAGTTTGTTCTTTGCAGAAAGGGAAGTGAGCATACTGTTACGCCACAACACAAACCCACAACCACTGAATGGAACAGATACCAGTTGACTTCCAGGATTATCCGAGGGATGAATATAGAACGGATGTGAAGGATCCAAAGAAAACGGAGCAAAACTGTTGGAAGGTGAAGGAGAGCTAACATCGTCTACTACAGTACCCATTTTCAGCAGTAATTAAATCTAACACTAAGAAACTACAGTAGTATGTTGAAGTGATCAGGGATAAACTCAAATCAGGTACATGCAATGAACATTAACAGCAAAATTAACAAAACTTGTGATTAGGAGTGACAGTGATACCGTCCTTCTTCTGAAAACCCGAAGAAGTGAGGTCTTGTTTAGCCATGAACCCTAGGTAGAGAAATCCAGCAGAAACTACCGTGTAACTTGAAGATTATCAACGATTCTCGCGATAAAAGTCGAAAATATGCGAAGATTGAACGAAACCCCAAATTTCACGAACGTATTCTGAAGATCGACGATCTAATACAATTCTTGACGATTTCAAATGAGGCTACCATCGGAAGAAAGGCTGCGACGAGAGGAATCTATATTCCTGCTCTGATACCATGTTAAATTCGAAGCTCGATGGCTATGGCGGAAAGTAACAGAAGAAAAACCCTAGAAGGGTTGAGAGAAGAAGATGAACGAAATGAGTCGGTCAAAACTTAATTGACCAAAAACCATATTATTATTGAGGAGTATCTATATATATTTACAAGTGTAAGAGACAAAAATAAAATGTAAAAACTGAGAATGAAAATATAAGGAAATGTAAACTATAAAAGGGCCTTCTGCTTTCCCTTAGCTGATTGGGCCTGAGCTGTATTTGGGCTAACAGGCCTCTCAGTTGAAATCCAAGAGAGAATTATCTACCGTACATAAAACACTTCTTCAGCTAACTCAATTTGTTACAAATTAGTATACGTAAACGTAAGCAAGAAAACTCCATAAAGATTTACTATAAGAATCGCCTAGGCGTATTTGAGTTATGCCAGATCCTGCTTATCATAGATATCTCTTCATTGCCGCATTACTGAGTTCATTGTTCCCTAACATAAGGTCCTTTAGTTTCTTTCAACAAACTACTGCATACATGTGAGAAAGCCAAACAAAATGTAGACGTCAATAGAAAAGGAGTTGTGGTCAGCAAGAGTGGATACAACAACAACAACAACATCCCAGTATAATCCCATGAGTGGGGTCCGGGGAGGGTAGTGAGTACGCAGACCTTACCCCTACCTGGAGAGGTAGAGAGGCTGTTTTCGAAAGACCCCGGGCTCAAGAATAGGTGGAAAAGAAGATGAGGAAAGAGCGGGGAGGGGAGAGAAAGGCGAGTCAGCAAGAGTGGATAATGATGCATTTTACCCCTCACAAAGATTAGGAAATGGCATAATGTGTTGGGTTTTTTAATGTATTTAATTAATATATTAAATACTTAAAAGAGGGTGAATGGGAAATGGAGGGAAATGAAATTTTTGAGTGAAATTTTATGTTTCCCCCCTTGGTAAATGGACATTGTCCCATATTGGAAGAGGAAGAGGTTTTTTATGGGTATATAAGCGATTGCTCTTCTTCTAGCTCTTAAAGAGTTGAGAAGAAGGCAAGCCTCGTGCCGTGGTTGTCGTCGTCGTCGTCGCTCAGCTCGGTTCGGCTCGACTTCGGCTTCGGCTTCGATTCGGATTCGGATTTGGATTTGGTCAAATGATCGATTGATTGATTAACTTTTTGGACCAAATT